GGCACTTCAGGGCCTGCAGGGCCACGACGGCATTCCACGCCCCGGCCCGCGAGGCGTGGGCCCGCGCCGTCAGCTCCAGCAGGCACTCCACCTCCTGCAGCACCTGCAGCAGGTAAATCACGCCCTCGGCGGCCGACACGCGGCGGTAGGCCGTCTGCAGGATGGTCTGGTTGACGAACTTGTGGACCCGGACCAGGGCGGAAAACCCTTCCATCCGCAGCAGGCTGTGTTGGTTCCAGAAGACCAGCGAACCCATCCGCGAGAGCCGCTCCAGGCTGCCCGCGTTGTCGGGGTGGGCGCGGACCCAGTGGACGTACCACTGGAAGGGCCGCAGCAGCGCTGCCGCCGCGGTGGTTTGGCTGGGGGTCATCTGAAACGCCATCCGGGTGGGAGCAACAAGGGGGATCGATGGATGATGGGAGATAATATAATATGGCTCTATTTCTATAGCAAGAGAGAGAGAGAGAGAGAGAGAGGTGTGGCTTTCTATCCCTTGAAAAGCTGCGGGGTGTTCCGTTGCTTATGAGGTTTTACACGAAGAGGAGGATAGATCGAGGCAGGGATGCACCACCCGACCTTGGTAAAGGTCCCACAGCAGCTGAGAAAGTTAGTTTACAAACAGTCGTTAGGATCGGTATCAATCACTATCGATTGATGGGTTTAGAAATTTATTTAGCAGTTTCCCCTTCCTCTATACCCACAACAGAAGTAATCCTATAGTCCCCCATTCCTAACCCGCGGCGTCCTTCACCGGATCGGTGTGTGGGCCTTGGGTGGGCTGTGGTAGCCCGACTTGAGGATGACGTGGAAGGAGGCGAGGGTGATGGAAAGCCCGATGCCGGTGACCATCACCAGGGATGCCAGGAAAAGCCCGTATTCGCACGGGGGAAAGAAGTCCTGGGTGAAGTGGGAGCGATCCACATGCGGCATCACACCAATCCAGGCAATATAATAGAGAAAGAACGCGGTGCTGAGAACTAAGCCGGCAAACCCAATGGCACGATCGGAGATCATGCGCTCTATTGGATTAGTAGTAGTAGTAGTAGTAGTTTTATTGTTTTTAATGGTTACACGTACCTTCTACAATGAGGGAATAATATAAAATAAATTACATAGTAAAGAGAAATTAACGCCTTTTTTAAAATAAAATTTACTATGCTTGTTCTTTTGGTTGGTATTCCATTCTCAGTTTGGTACCCCTATTATCAGGATAGGGAGGAGAATGTTTTTTATTATTATTATTACTTTAATATAAAAGTTAAACGGAATATCGCATTATAATTATGGTCAGTTAATCCCCATCCCTATAGGGGTGAAATGTCCGGCACTTCTTCCATAAACACGTACTTTTTCGTGTCGTCTGGGAACATGCGCACGATGCGCTCGTAGGCGATTTTCGCCTCTTCCATGTACTGACTATCATCCAAAAGCCCCGGAAGAAGCGTCGGCACCGAAACGACGCGCAGGTCCTCGCTTTCCTCATCGCCCTTGCGGGCCTCGTCGGGCTGGAGAAGGCCCTTTCGGGTTTTCGCGATGTCGGACTGCACCTTCAGCCGCTCCGCGATCGCGTAGGGGTGGGCGTGGCGGGTTTCGCTGGGGCGGTCCACCGCGGCGGTGGTCCCGCGCCGCTGAACCGCGTCCAAGGCGGCCTGCGCGGCACTCAGCGTGAAGCTCGCGCAGTACACCACCTCCTCGTCCGCGAAGCGAATCCGCGGCGGGGTTTCCGCCGTTTCGTCCTCGTCCCTTTCCTCGCCCGGATCGCGGGGGTTGGGGGGCAGGCCAAAGGACGCCATCACGAAGGCGTGGAGCTCGTCCTGGGATAGCGCCGCGGCGTCGGCGGTGAAGTGCAGGACGACGGCGTCCCCCGGCGGGGCCTGCGCGGTCGCCGCGCTGTGTTGGGCGAGGTG